GGCTCGTGTTACGTAAGGGCCTTTAAGCCGTGCATAATAGGCCATCTGGCGCGTGGCTGCTAATGTCGGACAGGCGCCGATCGATACCGAATTAGCGACGAAAAAAAGACCTCGTGCTTCAAACTTCTGTTCTTCTTTTTGTCTAATAAGGCGAAATATCACGGTTTGTAGGATTACAAGATATACAGACTGTTGTCGTAGGAGGTTGGTAAAAAACTACAAATTAGTAAGCAAGTAATACGCATTGTCTCGTCTTGCAATGACTCGTGAACATGCCATAAGCCCCGGTAGAACATTTCATATAATCATTCTCTGATGAATTGGGTATTTTCCTTTAAGAAATATTGATTCACCTTCTGTCATCAGTTGAAGTGAGAGGAGAAAAAAAACAATAAACTCAATTGGAAAAGTGCGTTCTGGTGCAATGTTGGTATTGAGCTATCCGCTGAAATAAAGTCAACGTTTGGTTGGTTGGTAAATTAGTTCACGGTTAGTTGATCGATTGGTTTATTCGGTCCGTCGGTTGGTCTGTTAGTTTGGTTGGTTCGTTCCTTGATTTTCAGTGGTTAATTAATGTAATTTTTCGGTTGATGTTTTTTTTTTTCCCGGATTAGCCTTGCTGGTGATGAAGCTCTATAATCATACTGTATTATGAGAGTTGAGCGATGCATATTTTGTGCATATTTGAACTTAAAGCTGTGCCAGGTCGTGAATATTTGGCAAAGAAAGGGCCAACAGAAATGGGGAAATGCGCTTCACCTCCGTCCCCGTTTCCAAGTCTGATGATGATGTAAAATAAAGCAAGGCTCCGTGCAAAACGGACGGTGAAAAAACTCGCCGTTGAAACCGAATCATCGCCAGATTCCCCCAGTACCCAATTATATTTATTTTTTAAACAACTTATACCAACAACACACACGACTGTTTCGGTATAACAAGCTTGACGCACGGAAACTGACCGAACAAAAACGGACAATGGACTTTTTAATGCCGCGGCAGGCGCCTGCATCATTAATATTCCTGTCCGGACTGGTCGCGTGCCCCATTGTTCCCCCACAATAGGATGCTACTTGTGGTTTGGTGGCCGCCAGGTCCTTTGTTGGGAAAAAAAAATAATGAACCTCTCCAGTGCTTTTATTCCTGGAGAATGGGGGTATAATCCTTTCCTCCAACCCCACCCGCCCAGCACGCGCACAAGACACGCGAACAAGACACCCTGTTAAAACGAAGCTGCATGGATGTTTTGTATCAAGTCATCGATCGCGGTGACATGTTGTTACGGAAAAACAAAATTACAAAACTTCGCACATTTCAAGTTAAACACTTCTGCAAAAAATGTTGAATATTCTTTTATCGTAATTCCGATTGTTAAGGTTGGGAGGCCCGGTGTTCCGGTCCCGAAAGAATCTTTCTCGAAGACAAACGAGTCACCTTTGAGAAGATTCTGCTATACTCGAAAAGCTGTCTTACTTTACCCGGTTCAAGTCAATCCAGTCAGTGAGCAGTGCTAAGGTCTTTTCACACTAGAGAATCCACATGTACCTTTTATCTGAGTTCTTAACGATTTACCCATCCAATCATCTATACCATGGAACAACAAACGAGTTGTTTTTTTAAAGTTATTTCTTCGCTCTGAAATTTTGTTAAATTAACGTGTTCACAAAAGGACTCGAAACAGCCCATTCATAACGATGCGTCGCAAAATCCATTAAGGGCAACTTTCTCCACAAATATTGATTAGGACAACCCGTGAAGACTCATCATAACGTTATTAAAATTCTACCACAAAGGGGCAGAGCTCTGGACCATTAATTTTTTTCTGGTCATCGAGTAATGTCCAGTCAGATCTCCGGACACTATCCGTCCAGCTGAAGGACTTGAAGAGTGCATTCACTTCCGAGACGCCCCGCCGCCTTTATCACCCCGTCCCAATTATCGCCCGGGCCGCTACGTTTTCTTCTGCAACCGGGTACAGTCACTTAAAATAAGCACGCGTTACTTATATCACGTGATCAACGGCGGATCCGGGGGGTACCCCCCCAAAAAAATTAAACAAACAAATAAAATACGAACCCAATTGTTTTTTTTTTTAAAGTGACGTCGCAAAAAGGCAGCCACTGCGCACACCACCATCTTTTGCAAAAAGAAATTGGTGAAAGTGGTCAGAAATTGCCTCAGATCGCACAACAGAGCATCTATAGGCCTAATCCAAAATGTTCCGGGACCCTTAAGCGAGCCCCGAACCCATGCCGTAAATTTTGGAATCAACTTTTGGGGAACACAGTTTGTTTTTTAGCCCCCAAAACAATTGTGTTCTGGATCCGCCCTTGCACGTATTATGTCACGTGATTGGAGCAAGTTCATGACGTTATCAATTCGTTGGAAAGTCGAAGCGAATTGTGGCCTATAGAGGTTTAGGCTGATGTTTTCAGATATTGAAACATCGTTGGCTTGAATCCCACCCACTCATTTTACCCCTTATTAATCAAAATTATTTGAAAAGAAAGTTTTTAAGTCTGGGAACCACCCCGTTGACAATTTACGCATGCGCATTATGGCCAGGGACTACGGCAAGGTTGCAGTCTACCATTAAATAAAGCGCCATAGACCTCAGTGATAAAAACGCCCACTTCCAAAAATTATGAAAAATATTCACAACTCCCAGGTGATTTTAGACACACATCAAATCAAGCTTATTTCTTTAAAATTCATTTTCCGTGGATCTTTTTGGGAGAAAATTCTATCCAAAGATGATCACCCCTAAAAAGTCCTGAATCCCATCGCCATTTTGAAAAAAGGATGCCTATACGCTCCATTGCAAAATAGAGCAATTTTAGGGCCCAATTTTATCCGAATTCAAAGAAATACGAGCTCGCATACCTGTTCACAGCTTCCAACCTTTTTTCCTACGAACCCCCAAGTTCATGGCCTACAAAATGCTCTAATAGCAACAAACCCCCCCCCCCCCCAAAAAAAAAAACACACACACAAAATAAAACCAGGGCATGAAAATCGCGATTTGACCGGCGTATAGGCAATTTCGGGCCTATTTAATGGCCTGCACCTATAGGCCTTTACTTGGTTGCGGAAAAAAAGTAACTGGTTCTATCCATGGTCAGTCTTATTACAGCTTCATGGCCATTCCGAATCTAGACAGGCTCGGTGCAATTAATTAAGTACAACCCGATTGTTGTCATGCAAATTTAACCGCGGAGGGATTAGTGGGAAGGGTGGGTAATTAAATGACGCTGGCCACACTCATCCGCAGTGAAGACAGCTCGTCACCAACCAGACGTTATGGGCTCTATGTGGGCACTAACATTGAAAATACTGTCGGTGAATGATAGAAGTTTCTGATATGGACAGGGCCATATTACCAATAACGGTAAAACGTCGCAAAACAGAACTTAAAAAAAAAAAAAAATTAAAGCCATTTATACCACTGTGAAAATTGGTTCTGGTGGTAGTTTTGAAAGCTTTTTATTCGTAATCACTAAGGCCTATCCTTTTCGATACTTGGAAGTCTGTAAGCTTTTTTTCCCCGTAACCTTGAGCAAATTGTGTGAATTTGGTTCTTTTTGCAGCGGATTCTACTGTTTTTATTTACATTCCGAGCTCTCCAGTACGGAAGCTTAAAGTGACCATCCGAGTTTCCACGTTTCTTTGATAATTTATCTCGGAAAGAAGGATACTCCAGACTTTGTATTCAGAAATATAGACAAGGTATATTATATTCAACTACAATATTTCATACACCTGAAAAGTCGTGATAACCATCCATGGAAGAAATCTCCACGTTTTAGTAGATCAATTAATCGTTGAATCGAGAAGTTATGTTGTTTGAGACCAAACAAAGTTTTTGCCGCTTTTCTTTCAACTGTAAAAGGTCAATTTTTGTAGGTTCATATTTTTTTCAGGGGAGCAGCTAATCCAATGATGAAAGCCAGAGGCCGGGTTTAACTGTGTTTAAAGCTGCCTTGTGGCTACAAGTTGTAAGCTTTTGTTACGAGAATAATTAATTGGATATTATGTCTCCTTTTTTGAAATCCTTTTTTTTATGGGCTAAACCCGCTTACGGCCTTACTCATTATTTCAAAGCATTTCATTTTAATCCCTAAATAATGACGTGACATATTGAAAAGCCGTCTTTGTTTCTCGTTTTTCCTTTCTTCAGTTAGTCCTCAAATCCACGTCAGATTATTTCAGTGTCATTAGAAGTACCAAGACAATAGGCTTTTTCTGTTAACGGAGGGGCCAACAGTTATATAGGTACCCGTGCAATCCAATATGAACCAAAAAAAAATTAAACATAATTTTCTTTTGGGCTTAACATTTTCCCGCGATGATAGCATGTGACACGTTTTCAATTTATTTTACATGTAGGCCTAGGCTTATGGCAGTGAAATATAAGAGTTGTTATAGCTTATCAGGAAAAAAAAGAATATTTGTAATGGATAACTTTATGTTCAATAACATATCTTGCACCTGAAGAAAAATAAAAACCAGAACTAGTGATTCTTAGTTTTTTTAATTTTCAAATTTTGGTGAACGGAATTATTCAGTGGCGTTGCAGTTTTACCTATGATTTTGTATGGGATGTATATCTACGCATTTCGATTTGATTATCTTTTTAAGCCTCTTTTTTTCGTGATTCGTGCCCGATTTAGGATGGTTTCGAAGAAAAGCTGTATAACCAGTACATAATTAACAACTGGCGTCCCGGACTTTAGTTGTACATCGAAGGCAAACCAATCTAATAAACAAATTACCATTCATGATGCTTTTTATTGCTGTTTGCCACCAGCAGATGGCAAACAACAATACGAAATGGACCGAAAATGAAGCTCAAAACTCCGGATTCCCCCTCGTCTTTTGTACGATTTTCACAAAATACCCTTTTCGTCGAAAACAAATGAGGGTGTTTCCCCGTCGAGCCACTAGTTCCGTCTTAGCATCGGCACGATCAATGCACGGGGCATCGGCGTCGCTGTGTACAGGTGGTCGTTGAGCAGCTGACATGGTGTTATCAGCGACTGACAGGCGTGCACACAACCAAATACATATCAGGACTGACCCGGGAGCTCTATAACAAGCGACATCATTTCCTTGTGGACAGTACACGGTAATATACTCCCCTGTTTAGCTTCCCGTATCAGACCCATACAGGAAGTCATTGGAATAATTTGATAAGTCCAATGCGACGAAGCCGTCTGTGTCCCTCGAGAGTCAATGTTTTCGTGTCATTAGCACCGCGATAAGACAGATATGCAGTTACAAGGTCGACTAATATTTGGAGGAATGGCGCGTTCGATAGTGTCTGGGTGTTTTGTCATCATAAATGTGACTTGCTCATTATTTTGTTGTATTCTTTAAATTCGTGGAAGTGGAAGCTTGTCCTTGTTTTACAGAAGTTGTTTGAAAATTTGCAACTTGCAAGGCGAGGTGTCGTTTGTATGGCCATACGTCGGAGATTCGCAATAAGTATTTCCATGTTATGTAAGATTTTGTTTCCTAAGTAACTTTGTTCAGATTTGCTTTGCTAAGTTAAAGGTGTAGCCCTAGGAAATAATAAGCTAAGACCAATGCATTGTCATTCACAAAACCGCTCGGTTGAACTCTTCTTCGTTAAAGTATAGATGATAATTTCTTTTTTTTTTAAAGAAGTAAACAAACCTGCCACGATTTTTTGAATGAGAGGCAGCTTCTGAACGGAAATATCATAACGATCGTTAGAGATCAAAATTAGAAGATCAAAGTCTTGCACCATATCTTTTGCTTTTTGTTAAGTTTTAAAAATGACAGTACACCAGACTTGAGATTCTCTTCTGTCCATTTCACTAGCGTCTACTATACGACCATGTACATGTACAAGCTGAACGATTTCGCACCCGGATAATCGTCTCTGATGGGGATACCGGATGGTCCACATCGAGTTAGCAAGCCGCTTTTCCTCCAGAGATAAAGGCTGTTAAACCTTGAAAATCTGACATCTTTATCAGAGGAAGTGGGCATCGCATTTACTACCCACTGTGCGTATACTTGAAACTGGGGGAAAAGTGACTTTCCCACGGTTGTAGAGCGAAAGGAACGTGTGATTGTTAATTCGTATCCCTGATTACAGTGTTAGCCGCCAATTGGTTCACTTCCGTGTTGAAAAGACAAGGCCATAAATGGCAATTTTGACAGTCTATATTTGACACCATTGCTTGAAACGTGGGATCTCGAAATAATGCGTTGATCTGATATGGTACAGGTTTAATCCCGCCGTACAATTAATATTAATGTTTTTAGTGTGGTGGACATTTTTCATCGGTCAAATTCCAGAAAAAATAATAATAATTTGCTAAGTTTGATTTACTTCTCTCATAGACGGTCCGCGTTTGTATTTTCTAAAATACCTCCAACTCACAATCCTTTTAACACAATTCCTATAGCCACACATAACTCAATAAAATGTATGAAGCACACTTATCAATGCTACAACCCTATACCCCGCCAAAAAGGCTCACAGAAGTCTTGTTCTATTTCTTGTTATTTGACACAACCGGGCAATATTGAATCTGAGCCGCTTTGATTGTGTTATTCATAATCGTTTAATTACGAAAATAGTAGTTCACGAAGCAGTGACATAATGTAGACCTCGGACTTGAAGTTCCTGCAAAGACTGACTCCATCCTTTGAAGTAAATATTCTTCGATATTCATCCTAACACTGCAACTATAAGGTTTAATATATTGGCCTGTGGTGGCACGCTGTCTTGCGCGTGGCACCACGTGGGCAGCGAGTGCCAAGCCCCTGCCCCTCGTGCGCCCGGCACGTGGAGGCCTAACTCATTGACCACCCTAGACGACTGATCAAGAAAACACCGCGTCAGTGTGCCGACCATAAAAATAGCAAATTTCTGGTCGTGAACTTCTTAACAGACGCACCCCTGCATGCTCTGAGGGCCTGTTTGATGTTTCCTGGCCCGGTTGCCACAGCAACATTTGACCCACGCGAGACCCCCTCGTGTGTGACGGGGCTTCTAATAAGACTTTTTTTTTCTTCCTTGGCACAAAGAGCGGTGAGTTCGTCGCGTCACCTGTTCGGGATTGTAAGCTTAATTCCTCCGTCACTCAACATTCCTTCGCAGGCCGTGTCTTGAACAAAGCGTCCCCGTTACCGAAACACACCGCAGCAACAAAGGAGGTGTCTCCAATACACACAGCACAGGTTAGCTCCATATAACATTCTTGCCTTAGGTTAACAATCGACCAGATGTTCATGTCTTTAATTTTTGTCACATACATTTTATATTACCCCATCATATTTTTAAAACGAGAACTTTATGACAAAGAACTCAGAGTCATTCTTTCCCTCTAAACAACCACCAACATCAAGCAATTGTTTTTATAAGCGAACAGTTGTATTCTTCAGCATAATTGAAAAGGATCAGGAGTGTGAGGGTGAGTGTCGGGGGAGGGGAGGGGAAGGGATGTCAAAATCAATTTCTTGCGAGATTTGGAAAAACTTATAGAAAAGTAAATCGATAAACTAAGGAAAAATAAGTTAGTTTTGTGGCAAAGAAAGTTGGGTTTGGGTTGATAGAACGTTGAACAAAATTGAGTCGCTACAAACGATTTTGAAGGTGGTGGTGGTGGTGGTGGGGGGGGGGGGGGTCACTCAGCCCCCGGGGCTCGCGTCCACTCTCAAGGGCTGATCCTTAAAAAGACTGAAAGTTACAAGGCGAAAGCCTTTTGTCACGGGGTGGAAAACTCACAAAAGAAAAACCCGGCGCACGTGCGGCTAGGTTGTACGGTTTTGCGACCGAACTGCTCGGGATGACAATGAATACCCGTTGTGTGAATCGACCTTGTTTTGGCTGTGGTTGTTTCATCTCCCACTCCTCATATCTGTGTCATTGAAAGAGAGGTTATGAACTTCTTTTTTTTCTCTGCTTATTTTTTTCAGAGACGCGCTAGCCCTAAATGGGCGTTCCGTCCTTGTGTTTTGTCATGCAGATAGGGATTGTGACTTGAACATCATGAAAAGATAATGGTTAACGACCTTGCTTCCACCCTCCACGAAAGAGAAAAGTTCCATTACAAATTCGTCATTGGTGGGGCCATCGGATGTTGTTTATACAATCTCATTCCAGTCGGAGTGAATATGGATACCTAGTTGGAAAGCTCCGGTTTTCATATGTGTGTGGTGGTGGGGGGGGGGGGAGGCAAATACAGAATCATAGTTAATTTTACAATGGTCAATTTTTTTTTTTGGGGGGGGGGGTTGGGGTGTTGGCTGGTCGATTGATACACGTATAAGATCACTGTATACAGACGCTAGTATAAGGCTTCCCTGCATCAGAAACCTGCAAACAGCGGTTCCAAAGATTCTAGCCGCACCATGATGTAGGTCCTAGTTTTTTCCCAATTGTCATCTTGCATTTATTCAGTGGGAGACATAAACCTCAGTGTTTGTGGTTTTGCAGTGACCTTTGACTGCCGTAAATCACGCCACCGACAACCCTCTGTAAATCACTCCATGCACCGCGCGCGCGCGGGCCAGATTCACCCTTTGATCTCCACCCGAGGACGGGCACGTGAGCTCGCGTGCCAAGACAGAAATATAAAAGATAAGCGGCACCTCCGCTGTGTACATTGACTGTAGTCTTTCGCGCCAAAAAAATCGGACCCATCGAAATTCAGATAATTCCTCCACTATGCAAATAGATCTGCCATTTATCTCCGTCAGTAGTGACTATTCTAACAAATTACAATGAACGCAATAAAAAAAAAATTGCAGGTGAACAAAAATAATTTCATGAGCAATTTAATCCGGCTATAAATTCTTTGGTCAGGATGCAATTTTATGACATGGGTTTATACTCAGAACTTTTCATCGTCAGGAAACGAAATTGGCAGATTTAGCATTTCAGACACATCCTTTGAAAAATGATTGAGGGACAATTGCATTTATTTAGTTCTATGGGTTCACTTACACAGTGCCCCACTGGGAGGCAATATGCATTCAGAAGGCGGTCATGCCCCAGTGCGTAAAATACATCATAGGTGTACTATAATAAGTGTTCCTTCACAACAAGGAGTTTTTAATAATAATGTTATTCAGCGAGCTCTCTTTAAAAGAGCGCGTGTGGCAAAGGCCCTGGACGGCCTACAGGTGAGCCGGGTATTGTTTGACTAAGCAGGCAGAACAGGTGTGGGCCCACCTGCCCCTCAATCAGCCTAGGCACGCGCCACGCTTCACGCCCCGAGAGATCGCTTTTGTGTATGTCATTTTGTCAAAGCAAAGTTGGGGGGGGGGATTGAGCGCGCGCAAACATCTAAGAGATTACCAGAATTTGCCGCCCGTGTTGGCCGAAGTCCAGGGTCCAAGGTAAAGATTACGGATTGTTGCTGACATCAGATTTGGCGGGAATTTTAGCTACTGCTGGTAGTACCTGAAGCCAGGTGTACGGTACGGTGTACACGTACACAAGCTATAGGCCTACACAGAGGTGCACATCAATGCATAGTTGTGGATTGTGACGTTTAGATCTATAATTTCAGAATGTACGTTTTAATATTTACTGAAACTTGTCACAAAAAAGATTGACTTTTATTAGCAATATCTTTCTCAATTGCTGTGGGAATACCGCAACAGTTTTAACTGAAATTGCACAGAAAGTGAAATTTTATCAAGTTCTAAACACTCCCGTTCATAAATCGCAAGTTTATTTACCCGTTACAAAGTTAGAACAATTTTTTTTTTGGGCGTGATTTTCCGATTTTATTTTCAAGTGCAAAGTGAACCCTTTGAAAATGCCCCGAAAAACAAGGGAAGACAAATTCTGACAAACACCTGGCTGGGTATGTAAATAGAGATAATAATTGTTTATCAGAATATCAAGATTACAGAAATTCTTAGATGTTAATTTGGAATTTTCGGAGATTTATTTAAGTGCGCCACGTTAGGGAACACTCTGCAAATGTGTGCCCAATTTCCGGACGCCACCGTTTTTGAATTTTGGACTAAATTTTATGAATTTTGGATTAAAACACTTGATGACCTCCTATATATAAAAAAAACATGGTTGTTGGTATAGTACCCTGAACACATTTTACATTGAACAAGGGTTTTGTAGAAGCGAATCAGACTACGTGAGAAATACAATTTCTGGAGTCATGCGAGTGACGAGGAGATTTATTTATTTGTCTTTAATAAAAGCTTTGAATTCAGACGGAAATTGTAGCGAATAGATCTTTCTTGAAGCTTTCGTTCTTGTCTTTTTGCTAAGTTTTGATTGTGTAGTTTTGATCATATTAGATTCAAGGCAAAACAAGTAACTTGAAGGTATGCTTGGCCTAGGGAGAACGGTGTGGAAAGATTTCCATATCTGGCCAGCACTTGTCACCCTGGCCTGTGCACAAACCCTATGGGATTGGTCTGAAAATTTCTTAGTATTTTCTCAGTAAATGCTTTAATATTTTCCCTGCTAAATTTGACTTTTTAAGGACATTTTAATAACTTTCTGATGGTTGATAAGTCACTGAAGAGAACAATTAGTGATGGCGAGATACGGGAATCTTTCCCGACATGCCCGAGTAACTAGGACTCTACCGTCTACGAATCGCCTTTTATAACATTTGGAGATGGTCGGGTGATAGTTAGGGTCCTAGGATCATAAAGCAGTCGCGGAAAGCAAGACAACGCACCAGACGAAAATTGAACCCACTAGCGGCGCTTGAAAGCGGTGTGGTACCCACATACATCCCGCATTTTTTTTCGGTAATCATCACGTGATGCATTCATTTGCATAATTAACTAAACACGATGGAAGACAGCCGTTGGAACTGGACGTTTTGTTATGGACAAGCCGCCGAAATCGTCAAAAATTTTCACATTTTAGTTTTTTTTGGTTCTGTTTCAAGTCAATCATTAGCTTCATGAATGACTGCTGAATAGTGTGAGGTATGGCCATGTAATCTGGGGTGGGATTATAGAGGTGAAAATGGACCATTTTGGGGAGGCCCCCTTTTTAGGGTCTCTTACGACCAGTCTAACTCTGTGGTTATGTCTCCAGCGTTACATGTGAATTCCTGATGAGCTTGTTAAGCTGGAATTACTCAATCTAGTTGTGTACGTGTGACGTTGTTGTGTACAAGTGTCCCACGATCACAATTGCCGTTTTCCAACCCGGCTTCGGCGGCTTCTTGTGGGAGTCCCGATATGATAGGACACCGCCGTTGTGTATGGTGTGTTTGTCGTGAGAGTTTTTTCTCTATGGCACCGCGATTGCGTGCGGAGGGACTTTCCCTCAATGTGAAATAATTTTGCGTAGAGTGGGTGGATGAGGAAGTCGGACACATGCAGGAGAATACTGTACACTAATGTCAGGAACTCAGAATGACAACCCTGCATCCTGAAATGAGACAGAATGATACAATTTTTGGGGATTAAAGTTCCAGAAAGTGAGTATTTATTAAGCCAAGATTACATAGATCCACTTTACAGCTTCCTTTGATAGCTTTATTTGTGTAAAGTTTGCAGACACGTGATGTACAAAATGAAACTTTCTGTGTACATGTGTTTAACCATGTAGTTCTATGTGTGTGTGTTTTTTTTTTTTTAAATAAGTATGATACTATTTGCCTTCAAGCAATGACTACAGCGTCTGCAATGAAACACAAAATAACAACAACAGGTTTAAAGTCACAGTTCTCTACGCCCTCCCAAGTCTTTGGAGGCCGGGGAGTGAGAAAGACTGATACGAAAGTCATTGTTTGCTAAAGTCCCCATTGTTCAACCATGTTGGTGGTTTGGTCTGTCGAGTTGAGCGACACGTGGTAGGTGTGGGTGGGTGAGGAGAGAGCGGGCTGCAGGTTGAGGCTCCATGGTGTGGATGGCAGTGCTCCTTGAGGCCGGGGGCATTGTGTGGCAAGAGGGCTCGTAGAGCTCGTGGAATGGGGCCGGCTGCCGTTGGGCGCTGGGATGGCTGTGGGTGGGTGGTTGTTGGAGGTGGTGTCGAGATGCATGGCTGGTGGTATCGTTGCTGCACCTGGTGAGTCCTTCTGGGTGGTGGGAGGGTCGGTGTGGAACGGCCGAGGTGTGGTAGGGGGTGGCGATGGGGGCTTGGCCATCTTGGCTGGTGGAATCATGGCTGTCACCTGGCCAGGTGCCATTACCAATTGTGCGCGGGGAATGACGGGCAGGTACTTACGCAGAAATTTTCTGTTGCGCAGTGTAACCCGTCCTCGAGACGTCCACTCTCACCAAATATTGGTCAAACTGGCGCACCTCGACCACAATGCCTGTCTTGTCCCACTTGGTGGGGTTGGGGCTGGTCTGGTTCTGGATGCGGACACAGTCTCCAATGATCAGCAGAGGAAAGGTGCGGGTGTCACTGTGCTCATTGAGGCGCTCAGCAGTATGCATGTGACGGTTGCGCAGTGCCTCCTCCCAAGAGAGGAGGGTCTCCCGCCATGTCGTGTGGGGCTGGTACTTGCCGGGATGGATGGGGATGAAGTCTCTTATGGGCCGTCCAAATATGCACATGGCAGGGGAGAGGTGTTTGTCACGGTCGGGGGTATTGCGGTACTGGATCATGGCTCGTTGGAACTTGTCAGTGTTCAATGTGCCGGCAGCGTCAGTGTTGTTTGTCAGGAGGCATTTCACGGTTTTGACTCCTACCTCCGTGCGACAATTGCTGTGGGGGAAGGCACCTGAAGACATGCGGTGGTTCATGCCCCAACAGCGTAAGAATGTTGTCGTGTGGCCGGACTTGAACTCGGGGCCGCCATCTGACGAAGATGCGGCGCAGGGCAGCAATGAGTCCGGTAGCGCCATTAGCAGCTTTCTCCACGATTGGCCAGTTGCTGTATCGGTCTACAGCCACCAAGTAGTTCTGGCCTCGGTAGTGGAAGTAGTCAGCCGCGACACATTAGAATGGGTAGGCTGGTTGGATGGGAGAGGTAGGTGGTGCACTTGGCTGTGAGGGTGCCATCCGGTTGCAGGGTGAACAATGCGCTCGCATCTCTCTGATTGCTGGTGTCATGCCTGGCCAGAAAAATGAGAACTCTGCCCTCGAGCACATCTGTAAGACACCCGGTGGGCTGAGTGCAAGGCCTGAAGTACCCGGTCGCGGATGGAGGTTGGGATGACTACCCCATTGAAAGTGGTTAGGCCATCACGAAATTGGTGATACTGGTGGACTGCGGGGGGAAGATCGCCTCTGAGCTCTGGGAAGCCATCCACAATGACTTCGAGTAAGCTGGACATTGAGGGGTCGCTGGTGGTGGCGAGGCGTACATCATCCCATGTAATTGATGTGATCACCTCGGTGGGCTGTGAGGCTGCCAGGGTGCAAAGCTGAGTGGTGTCCTGGCCATGAGTACGGAGCGCGGCAAGGAAGTCATGAGGCAGCTCAGGCTGGGTGATCTGTCCCGAAGGGTTGAGTACAGTCGCAACATCATCTTGTAGGCCCAGTTGCACAGGCTCGCCAACTGGGTGGCGGGAGACTGCGTCGGCTGTAGCATGGAGCACGCCGGGTATGTGAACAACTCTGAAGCGGTAGCGCAGAGACTTCTCTTTTAGGTTGCGGAGACGAGGGTTTGGGATGTCGTCGAGGGACCAGTCGCCAAACGTTTTCAGGAGGGGCTTGTGATCCATGGCAACAATGAGGTCAAAGCAGCCGAGGACAAAGTGGCGTGCCTTGTCTATTGCATCAACAACTGCCAGTGCCTCCCCCTCCACTGGGGCGTAGCAGGACTCTGCCCCCAACGTGAAGCGACTCCCGACGAGTGTGATCTTTCAGCCAGTCTTGCAGCAAAAGGGCTTGGAGGAGGGGCAGCTGCAGTGCTTTTGGAGGAGCCAGAACCGGGTGCCGGGCTCACGAAAGGGCAGCATCCGTTTGGCCGAGGCAAAGGCGTAGGAGACCTGGTTAATTAGGCCAAACCAGCTTCGAACATCGGTGATGTTGCATGGCGTGGGAAAGTTTTGGATGGCCTCTAGGTTGCAAGGGCAGGGGCGAACAGAGGTCGGGGTAATCTCGAAGCCAGCGAACTCGACTGAAGTCTTGGCGAACGAGAACTTGGAGGGGTTAAGGGTGATGCCATGGCAGCAACAGATGTCAAGCCAGTTGATGGCCTGGAAGAATGCCTCCTCAATGGTGTCAGACCACATCAGTGTATCATCCACACACTTGGTCTTGTTTGGGATGTCGGCAACGATCTCATCAAAGCGGCGGCTGTAGCCGTCTCCCGAGGCGATGTACCCTTGCGGAGCAACGCGGTACCAATAGCGACCCCATGGAGTGATGAATGTTGTGAGATGGCTATCCTCTTCATAGCCGTTCCACGCGTCAAAGACGGTTTTGCGTGTTTGGGGTGGGACCGCACGTGCCTGGTGGAAGGGTGACTGGGTGTGGTTAGTTTCGCGAACGGCATGACGATTGAGTGTTTGGAGGTTGACTGTCCGTCTGGGCTTGCCCGACTTCTTGGCACAAATCACCGTCTTGTGGCACCAAGTAACGGGTGTGCCAATGGGTACTGGCTCCATGACTCCAAGGCACACGTCTTGATCGAGGCCTGCCTTCACATGGTCTCGCCACAGTGCACAGTGCACAGGGACCGGGATCGGTGTGTGGTGAGCGACTGGTCGAACCGCAGGGTCCACCATAAGGTGCATCGGTGATCCAGACATCATGGGAAGTGGCTGATGCTCGCATACGTTGAAAGTGCTAGATTTGTAGCACTCTAGCAGCCACCGCTCGAGTCTCTCGCGTTTCTCTTCCATTGCTGGGAATGGAAGAGATGTGGGGGGAGGTGGCGGTGCTTGATGCCGAGGGCAGTCGCATGTGTGGGTGATGCATGATTCAGGTGTGGGCATCAGTGTAGTTGCCGAGGAGGAGTCTCTGGCACTGGCGGGCTTGCATGCCTCTCCAATAGTGGGGAACTTGTCGGATATCAAGCCAAGGGCGACGCAAGCCTGTCTTGATAAAAATAGTCTGTCAGAGGAGTTGGTGAAGTAGACTATCTGCCGAGTCTCAAGTGTCTCTCCAGAGGTGGAAGTCACAGAGATCCATAGAACAAATGCACCTACGATGCCGATGCCGTGGTTATTGGCAGCAGTCATTTTCATGGTGACTGGGATTAGGTGGTGCTTCTCCAGACCCAGCTTGGATAGTAGTTTTGTCCCAACAAGGCATGACTGGCATCCAGTGTCGGCCATGGCGGGGTACGAATAACCGGGGGGGGGGGGGGGGGGGGGCGTGGTGAAGCCAAGAGCGCAGGCGCATCGGACGGGATGGCCTGAATAGAGACATCAATGAAGGGCTGGGGTCGGATGCCCGCTTCTCCCATGCATCACAAAACTCACTGTAGATGTGGTGTTCGAGTGCAATTGCATGGGCACTGGTTGCCAAGGTGTCGTCAACGGAGCACAGGGCTTCAAAGATGGCAGTTGCATTGTCCTGTGGCGGTGGTGCGGTGGATGGGGTGGGCTGCTGCCTGCGCTTGGACTGGCGACACACATTCTCATGGTGGTGTAGGATGCCGCATTTGGCGCACGTGTGGTTATAGGCTGAGCATTTCCTCACACGCTCCAGTCTGCTTCGCTCGTGGCCTGACTTGCCACAGTGACTGCAAAGTGAGGCTGCGGGTCTGGTCCCTCATCCTGGCGCTTGTATGAGCTGGCGACAGCGGCAGTTGTAGTGGTGCTGCCATGAAGGAGGCAACCGGCTGACCGTTTGCCACTCTCTTTCGTTTCGACGTACTTGAGTACCTCTTCCAGTGACATGTCTTGTTTCCATTCGCCAAGGATGTCCAGTCAAATCTCCTCGTCCTTGAGCCCCCGGACGAGGGCGTCTCTGATCATGATGTCACTGTAATCGACCTGGGTTTTGCATTGACACTCGATCCTGAAGCTGCACACCCCGGCCTGACCACGGAGGTGAGCAGAGAAGGCACGCACCGGCTCGTCACTGTCCTGGCGCATTTGCTACAGCTGTACTCTTGCGATCATGACGTTCTCTTGACGCACGGCAAGGGTCTTGATGTTGCCGAGAACGGTCTGTTCATCACTGGAGGCGAGGGCACCAAAGGTCCGTGTGAGGTCCTTCTTAAGTGCCTCGTTGCAACACTCAAGTAGCTGGAAGACTTTGTCCGAGCCTGTAAGATGTGTGGCAGCCTTGTAATCGGCCCATCTCTGTTTGAAGTATGCCCATTCTTCACTTGTGCCAGCTGCAGATATCACAGGTCGCTTCACCTTCTCTGCCTTCGCTGCACCTGAGGCAAATGGTGGCATGTGGGCTGGGTCAGCCGGATGAGCAGTCCGTTCGTGCAGATCGATCAGGCGGAGCAGGATCTCCGGAGGTGTGGCAGTGGGCCATGTCGTGGCGCAATCAGGTGCTGGGCAAGGTATGGTGCTCATAGTCCTTCAACTGAATATGCTGCAGTCATAAATAAGTATGATACTATTTGCCTTCAAGCAATGACTACAGCGTCTGCAATGAAACACAAAATAACAACAACAGGTTTAAAGTCACAGTTCTCTATTTTTCACAGTGCAGAATGTACACCACTCCATGTACATGCGTGAGACATCCTAACATTTGGGATTGACTGACCCTGGGGGTTTTGTTTTGGGGTTTTTCTATTCCTACCTCCATGATATGACCAAGCATCAGAATCGTAATAAACCGTAGTGATCGAGAAGTGATTGATTGGTGTCCAGCTTTCATCCGTGTTTAATCATGGACGGACCCCAGCCCTAGAATTATAGTAGGGTAGATCACTTATGCAAAAACATAACGCTAGGGTCATCCTAGCTAGGTAGACCACCACATTCGTATCCAGGTCCAGCCCCATTGCTACCTGCATGAATGGATGTAGTGTCGCTAACTAGTTTGTTAAGTCTGTTATAATGTAAAAGTTGATTTTTGTCCCCTTATTAATTATAGGAAACAGGGCCCTACATAGCCCGAATGCCTCTGGCCGTATGTTATTGCAAGATCTGAAGTACAGCCAGAGCAGCAAACATCCCCTGGATGCCTGAAACTGATATAGCGAATTTGCTACCAACTTTGAACGAGATTATCTTCTCATCCAGGACAGAGATTTTTAAAGTTAGGGTACCTGTTCGTAGAGGAACTCACACTTTTCCCAAAACACATTCTTTTATCAAAAAATCTTCATCAATCTTGCCAAGAAACGACGATCAGTCTGCAGCTCCCACAAATATCGTCTCAAAAATGTTCCTCCATGGGATTTCAAAATAGTGGACTGGCTTATGTGCGTCATTTATGTATGCATTTATGCAGGCGCCCGCAAGGGTATGAATATGCATTGTACAGTTCATGACCTCTTGTTTGTATGGCCGGCAGCGCCGTGCAGCCAACAACACGAAGTCATGAACTGTACAATGCATATCCTAGCCAAAACTAAGACTTCCCGGTCCTTCCTTCTGGTGAAATTCATCTCATAAAAATTAATATTCCAACCAAAGTGGAATTTCACTGAGTGAGGTATATGGTTCCCCGACTAAAAATATTGCCTTTCGTTTACCTACACAATGTCAAGCGCACCGCGCCTGGGTTTTGGTCGTATCATATGTTGGGAAAAATTGCATTTGGCCATTAGAAAAGCCAATCACTTGGCACCTCGATTATTTATGCTGAGTACAACATCCACCAGCCGACAGGACAATGGACCGTAAAGTTCATGCAGAATGTCTTACTGACCCGACGGGCTGATGGATGTCGTACTCGGCATAAATAATCGAGGCACCAGAAGGAAGCAGGGGGAAGTCCTAGTTTTTGGCTTAAATATTGAAACATGTGGGTAAGTGAACCCCCTTGCCAAGCATTGAGTCCAACATATTTGCATGAAAAAATGACAATTTTTAACTAAGGTTTAGTGCTCACATTCGTATCTTTGTATCATTTGTTCTTTGCCAACAGGTTTGTTAAAACTACATCAGTTGGTGGCGTGGTCTTCATTAATTATTTAAAGGTGATCAACTTTGAAAGCGATGGGAGTCAAAGGTTTACAGGTTTTTGCTGATACCAACTGCCCTGGTGCTCTTGTGAGAGTTAACATAGCGAAGCTTGCTGCGGATTTTCATCGGCGCTTTGATAGGAAACCAGTCCTTGTTGTGGATGGCATGGGCTGCCTACGTATATTCTACAATCCCAAGACACCCTGGGTGTATGGTGGACAGTGGAAGGAGTTCTTGAATAGACTCAAACGTTTCGTGGATGCTTTCACATCGGCGGGTATAGAACTGGTGTTTATATTTGACGGCGTTGTCGAAACTTCCAAAGTTGCCGAGTGGGTCAGAAGGAGAAATGACGAAATGAAGACAGTCGCCAAAATCTATCGGAGCATTAAGGAGGATGGCAGGCATCCCCAAACCAATCTGCTCCATCTCCCACCTAGTATGAGCTTTTACTCTCAACAAGCTCTGAAGATGTGCGGTGCGACTGTTTACTGTTCGTTCATCGAAGCAGACAGGGCCATTTTCCACTACTACAAGAAGTATCAGTGCTTCGGGGTGCTGGGCCAGGACTCTGATTTCCTGGTGTTTGACATCCACAACTACTTCTCCTTGAACTCTCTGTATTTTGAGAGGGGGCTGGGGATCAAGAGGTATGATAAAGAGAGACTGTGCCGGCAGCTACGCCTGCAACCCTTCCATCTGCCCCTCTTGGCCTGTCTCATGGGTAACGATGTGATAGCACATGCAAAATTGGGTAGCTTTCATCAATCAATCACGGGCACAACGCCCAACAAGATGGCAGATCTGCTGCCAGCTGTAGCCCGCTTCCTGTCGGATCTGCAGATACAGATTTTGACGCCAGAAGTTGTTGAAGATTTGGAGCAGCGTGTCTTCGGCCGAGCACAACATATGTGGGGGCTCATGGACAAAGTTGTCCGTCAGTACATCATGACTGAGCCTGAGCCTCACAAAGTGGTCGACGTCACAAGCACTGGTAGGCAACAGCATCAGAAACAGGGTCTTCCTCAGACATCACTCCAATCCAAATCAGGATCTAATGTAGCATCCGAAGACCGGCCAACATCACAGGATGGCAGTGCTTCCTCACAACAGGTATTTCAAGCCATAAGAAGGGCTCATTTGAACGCTGAAATCCCTGCAAGAATAGACAACTTGTTCTCCCATCACCTCTACCAGAGGGGTCCAGCAATTGAGGACTGCACAGACTCTACTATGCCCTCAGCGGGTCCACTTTTCGAGCCAATTAGGAAGAAACTGTATGGACTACTCCTGGGGGGTGGGTTACAGGAGGATGTGAGCGTTCCTCAAGCCAGTGCCCCTGCTACGAGCTCATCCTTTCCAGATACAATCGACAAGAATCCAGCCAGCTCAAGTCCGGTGACCTCTAGATTAGTGGTTGGTGTGAATGCAGTGAGGGAGTGGGTTGCCCAGCCTGGCCGCACCCTTGCGGTGGAGCCTGAGATAACGGAAGCCGAGCCGTTGGATATGCCAGGTGTGTTTTCTTCAGGAGAAGTGTTTTCATGCAGTACTTAAATCTTTTTTATTTGAAACATAAAAATATAAACTTATTGTTCCACTCCCACAGTAGTTTTTGCAAACACCGTCCTGCATGTTTTGCAATTTGTATTGTAGTTTTTGTAAACAGTCTTGCTGCTCTGTGCAGTGAAGCCTTGCATTGAATAGTTGATTCACATAAAAAAAAAAATCAGTCGACCAAATTAAAAAATTTAGAGGAGAAAAATAAAGGGTATTTTACCTATCCACCCACCGTCCGTTTTTTCCCCAGTGTAATAGGAAACATTAACATCTTTTTCTTGGCCTTATTAACATTCATACTCTAATGCACTGTGATCTGTACTGCATTTCCATTGTATTTTGTAATTCAAACTTGATGATTGAGGATTTTTCTGTTCAAATGAACCTCTCCATCAACAAAATATAGGTATGCAGATTTGTTTGAAAGAAACAAAATACACTTTGTTTTAAACAAAAATGACAGACAAGGTTTGCTTAGAGTAAAGTCATAAATACATGAAACTTAAAAAAAAAAAACACTTGCAATTTTTGGAATGTTTGAAATTTATTGCCAGATCTAAATTACTGATGTTTAATAAATTTTGGAAAAAAATATATAGATTTACTTAAAAATCTCAATCTATCCACTTCCACTCAACATACTTGGCACAGGGGTGTGAAATCTCAGCTTTAAAGCAGATTTCAGCTTTTGGGGGGGGGGGGATTTCAGCTTTTTTTCCCTCACTTGCTGTGTACAACAGTATAGGAGATTTCCAAAGTTCAGCTTTTTTACACCTTTTCCAGCTGTTTTCAGCTATTTTGATCAGTGGTCACTCACACCCCTGTTGGCAAGAAATGGAAAAGAATTGAAACTTTTTTTGTGTAAATCTCATCTTCAGGAGGCACACCACGACTGGAGGCCCTGTGGCTAGGACCACAAGCTGAGGTGCGGTCCTTGAAGTTTGAGACCTTCCTAGCCTGTATGCATTGTGACCTAGACCCTGCCCAACTCCAGCGCATCCCAGCACACTTTCGGCTCTTATGCGTTGTTCTGCAATACTTTGAGAAACACACCGCGCCTAGATTCCTTCGAGAGACTGACGTGGATGCCTTCTTAGCCCAGGCCGTGTGCCTGACGACGCACTACATGGCAAGTGTGATGAAGCTCAGGGTGAGTCCAACTGTAAATGAATAAATAAATAAAGTAATTAATTAATTGGGTGTGGGGGGGGGGTATTGTCCTTTTTCGCAGCAGGAGCTGAATTCCGAAGGACGCAGCTACAACGTGGTAGAGCCGAAGGCATGTATATGTAAAGGCATCCTAGGCAGCCACCATGCAACCCATGTCTGAACACGAAGCACACCAGATCAAAAGTGTCAATTTTTGCAGAGGGAGGAAATTGGAGAACCTGGAGAAAAACATGGAGAATCAGTGAAAACTCTACTCATATTTGACCCGAGCCGGGAATCGAACCCGGGCCAGAGGGGTGAGAGACGAGCGTTTTAGGCCCTGCGCCACCCATGGTGGAATGGGTGGCAATTGTGACATGTGGAGGCTTTGGGCTCATGGTCTGGGGCATTGAACTCATGATTTTCTGGGCAATTCTGCAGGTTGTGGGTTCGAGTCCAGCCTGGGTGTTGCGGTGGGGGCGCCCTTGGATAAGACACCTTGTCACTCATTGCTTCTCCCCACCCAGGAGTAAATGGGTACCTGTGAGGGCAGAGATGATTGTGTGTTTTGGCTTGTCTTCATTGGCCTGTTGAGCAGGGGTAATTGAGAACCTGTTAGGTTGATATGTGTGCTTTAGAAATCCATACAGTATTACAGTATTACTATTATTATTAAAATTACCCTGGATTGGACATTTGGGAGACATCCCCATAGACTTGTGCACAAAATTTTTCAAACTTAAATGTGCCCTAACCCAATATTCCCTTGTCCTTTTTCCACAAATTTCTGTTTACTAATTAGACCACAAGCAACAAATATAACCTAATTGCGACGATAAAATTGTGCCTCTAAAGGGGGGCTGTGACATTAGGGAGACATGAAAATGTCTCCCTAATGACCGATGTCTCCCATCGTGCGAAGAAATAACGATAACGTCTCTCCTTAGTGGTACCTTTACACGTATTATGATTATTATTATTAATATCAAATGTTTTGTTTTGCCAAAGAAAACTAATTTGCAAGCTGGAAGAAGTGTATTAAATGTGTGAATAGTCAATCAAATGAATATTTTAATTTTTTTAAACTGTTTAAAATGTCGAAAAAGTGGACAAATTTTGTTTTGTTTATTTGTTGGGCACATCCACCATTTGGCTCTTAGAGTGATGCCTGAATACCTGTTACAGTGCTTGATTGATATTTTTTAAACCAAAAATCCCCCCCCAAGGCCCCCCCCCCCAAAAAAAAAACCCTCCCCCTAAAAAAAAAAAAAAAAAAAAAAAAAAAGCAAAAATATAAAAAAAAACACCTGTCTGGCTGGAACTTTGACTCCAATGTTTTACCCTCACCAGGTAGACAGAGTCGACCCCAGGGGTGTCCACCTGGCCAGCCTTTTCATGAGGGGTGTGTCACTAGTCTGCTCTGTCAATGCGGCCTGTGGCCGGCCTCTAGACATGGCTGACTTGATGCCGTGGCGCTTCTTTGACGGTGAGCTGTTCCACGCCAAGTACCTCATGAGCCAGGATGGGGCTTCAGTTGAGCAACTCTGCGACAGAAATGTGAGTGAATGGTTTCATTTACTAGCTTCTTCTTCTTGTAAAAAAAAAGTCTCCGGTTTCTGGTATGGAGCTTACCCCAAAAGTGGTGCGGCGACGTGGGTTTTTTTTCCCCTCTGGAGCTTGAGGTGGAGCTTGAGGTCTGAATTCTGCACCCACTTACGATCTCGACCGGCACAAACATTCTTTGGTAAATATGAAAAAGTCTAGTCTAGACAAAAATCAGAGAAAACAGTAACGCCAGACCATACAGCGACATCGACATTGTGCACGAGCTGCCAGGCTGGTCATTAGTCTGCTCCCTTACATACCGGTATTGCACTAATTAAACTTGTGCAGCAGCAGGATCCCAATCAAACCAGTGAGTTTGGCGGTTTTGAGACATCATGTTACATTGAAAAAAAAACTTTTTAATTTTGCCGACTCGCATGGCTACAGCGACGCGTGCGCAGACCAGAAACCAGAGACTATTTTTTTTGGGCCTAATACTTTATGTATTTCTCAATGGATAAACCACTCACTCTCAGTTCATATAACAATCTTATTAGATGCGCCAAATTAGACAATATTGGAAGCCTTGTTACTTTAGGTGGAACCACGCTCGTGTGAATATTGCACACATGAATTCGAGTCTTGCTCACATGTTGGTAACCCTCTTGGTCGAAAGAGTATTGAGTGAACGTGTGTCCTGCCTGCAAGTGATGCATCCTAACTGAGGTCGCAGTTCTTGTCTTTAGGTACTTCCTTTTGCAATGCTGTCTGTCTGCGACCTCCAGAACATTAATCCGGAGGTTGCAGGTTCGAACCCCGCTCCAGTCAATTTCTGTGTTCAACCTTTGGGTGTGGTCCCTGGCTACATGGATACAGGTTGATGGCTTCTGACTAGCGCCTCTTGAACAAAGACATTGACTAAAATAAGGAGCCGCCAACATAGGGCTGAATAGCTTAGTTGGTAGAGCACCGGAACGGTAATCTGGAGGTCGCAGGTTCAAACCCCGCTCCAGTCAATTTCTTTGTTCAACCTTAAAAAAAAAAAGAAGATGGGTATCTGAGTAAGGGAGCATTGCAAAAAGATCGCGGCGCGGTTTGTCTGGTTTGACCACGCCAAAATCACTCATGCGAAGGGAAGATAGGGAAGTAGGCTTGGAACATGCGCTATTATATTAACCCTCCCTCTCTGGCTGGCAATTTTCAACAAGGCCAGCCCAGCAGTCAAATCAGGTGACTGTTTTTAACAGTTGAGTGCCCTCTACGTTCATAAAGCAGGATTGACTGGCTGTAATTGTTTGGTTGTGGTTGTTATGAAACCTGATACAGCTATGCTTTGACTGTGGGAGATTGAAAGCCAGCCCTGCCTACCAGTCACCTGCTTTTGTCTTTTGATGGAAAAACGAAAAACAAGATTATTGTCAGAGTGGGTTGTAAAAGGTTATTTCTGTAGCATTTATAACTGTAATGTAGAACTTTAGAGATTGCAATTAGTAGTCTTGGAAATGTCCTGGTACAAAAAAAATCATTGCAGTTGATGGCAGTGAAAGTGCTGGAAGAGAAACAAATAAAAGTGTAAAAATTTACAGAGAGCAATAATGTCTTTACATTTTTTTCTTGAAGATCACCTCTCCCTTCTGAAAACAAAAAATCAAACCAAAATTGCAGAAATGCCCATTTAAGCGTCTTTGAAATGGTCTGTAAGTTGGACAGATGGTCGTTACTTCTGTCGCTATCAAAGTTGGGCCGAGGAGGTTTAAACAAGACTGCTCTGCCACATCTTTATAGACTTTAACCAGATTTTTATGATCGCACATTAATCGCTTGATGCCTACGATACCTGGGCCATTGTAAACCACTCAGTGTTGCCTCACCTGATGTGGGCAGGTATCAAAGGACCATCAAGCGTCAAATCAAACTGTCGTTTCTCATGATTTGTCGTTTTGATGGTGTTCGTCTCGCCGTTACATAGTTTGCATTTTCCGGCCCCTGGACCTTCCTGCGGTACTGTTTGAGATGGGGACGGCTTGTAAATCTTGCAAGGCTTGAAGGGAATACGATGTTTAATGCGGGAGGTTGTCTCATTCTAATCAATCAGCATGTGTCCTGAAATTATTTGCCGTACATTTGTGTGTGTGTGTTGCAGAGTGCCATGGGCTTTTACAAGAACTGAATTTCGTCACAAAATCCGTTTAAACTGTAAAACTATTTGCGATTAAACAGTTGATTATTGTGCATCTAATTTACTATGACCTTATTTTCATCCAGTCTGCTTCCTAAATATCATTTTGCGGACAACTTTACACAAATTTCTAAAAGGTTAAAAAGCTCATAAGTTTGTGTAAAAAACAAGTGTAGAATATTTTTTTTTTAAATGGCGGTTCCAAAGATTGGTGAATGTGTTGAGAAGCTGAATAGGCCCTATGCGTCTGAATATTTGTAACATCTATCAAGAAATTTAGTACTGCAGTTTTATTTCATATCAAGCTAAGGTAAGATCACTTCCACTGTTTGCAGTACTTAGAAGTTTTCTTATCAATTTAGTTTTTATGATGAAGGGGAAAAGGGAACTCAATTGCAGTGTCAAAACAAAGGCCCCACTTTATGGATTATAATTATCTGACGCCATTTGGTCTGAGAACAGAACCGCTATCTACAACCTCTGTGAAAGATTAGTTGTTGTTTTTCTTGCATCAAAAGGAAATGTTTTTAGTTGAGATAAAGCTTGTTCAGTTGTTTTGATCACTGTCAAACAAGGAACCTGAAACGATGAAAACAAAACAAAAATAAAAGCATCAACCTTGAAGTCCCTGGGAATTAGAAAACCCTGGGATTTCCTTCTTGTAGAATTAGCATGATAATCATCCTTCCCCACCCCCCTTGATCCAGCAATAGTAACAGCAGCATATGTACTTTTTTGGAAGTGTACTGTCTGTTGCAAGCTTATTGAATTGCTATGCAGTGTAAAAAGGTCATGGCGTCATTTAGGGAGTACAAACAGACTTAATCCAAAATTACTCACAAAAGTTTACATTAGGAATAAATTACTAAGGGAATAAATATGTGCTTGGCCGGTTTTAAACAAGTAAGTTTAAAACCGGCTAGGAGTCTGGACGTGGATACATGTATATCAGCGACCAGGCCCCTAGCTGGATTTAAACGTACTTGTTTAATACCAGCCAAGCACATACTTATTCCCATTCATAAATACCTTTTGGTCCAAATGTCAAAACCAGTCAAAAATTATAAATGTCCAACAATTTTGTTCAACAATTTTACTTCATGTTTTGTGAAACAGCCCTCTGGCTATGTTTATGGTATGTTTCTCATGCGAGTAGTACTAAAAATGTGGCGTAGAATGCAGCAGTGCTGGTGCGGTGTGAATTGGATGGTTGATGTGTCCTTTCTCTATGGTTGATGGGAGGTCATTCCATAGTCTAGGGGCACAGATAGCGAATGACTTCTCCCCATCCATCCTTTGACTTCTAGGTACCACAAGCTGTTTAGTACCTGTGTCTGTGCATAGACCCTTTCTTAAAGGTATTTCAAAGAGTTGTCAAAAGTTGTACAGAGTATGTGTTTAACACATGAAAGTTAGTATCATCTCAGACAATTCCAAATCCCAACAGTAATTTCTACATCCCCAATTTCCAAGAGAGACTGGAAAAAGTAACAACCAATCATGCCACCTGTTGTTACTAATGACTTTAGTCTTAAAACGAAAGCTTAAACTGACCACGTCTGTTTCCCTTGCCCCCTTGCACATGAAGAAATCATTTAGAAATCATGCCAAATGAATGCCATCTGACAGGCAGCCCCAAAACACACACCCCGTTTCCGGGGGAAAAAAATTGGTTTCATATGTTCCTGCATGTGTTACCCAAAGTCTCATATTCAGGAAAAGGCATTCCTTACTTGTTTAACGATGTTTCCACAAGATTTAAGCATTACTTAATTGTCTTTGTGCACTAGCACCCCCTCCCAGCCTGTTCCAGTTTAGTTGATCCATAACCCAAGTGAAATATTCTTCTCACAGTGTCAATCCAGACTGATGCATCCTTTACACTTATGGGTTAAAACTTTTCAAACTTTTAAAATGAAAACCAAGTCTTTGCAGTAAAAATCTTGAGGTTTCATCCTGAATTTTTTAATCAATAAAAATGCCATTTTTCATTGTGCATATTATGGTGGTAGACATCAGTTATGAAGTCGAGTCTATCACAAAATTCCGGTAACAAATGTGGTCATAAGTAACAGGGGATGAACAGTAAGAAAGTTATGCCTTTTGTACAATTTCATTTGAATATCTTGTGACTTGACTTGGGACTGAATGACGCATGATTGATTTGTGGTTGATTTGTGATGGACTTGACTACCACATTGGTAGACATGGGTTCACAAGATGAGGGGTTGGGTGGGGGGATGTGGGGTGCGATCTGATACACCGTGCCCTCTGGAGACATGCACACAATAGGGAACAAAAGATTGTATAGGTCTCCACAGGCAGGGTGACCGTAAGGTCATGGCCAAATTCTGCTCAATGCACTTCAAAAATCTGTCACATTTATCAAAAATCTGCCAAATTCCCATGAATTACGCGAAATACACTATAAACACTTAAAATCACATGCAGATGTTGTAGTATTGCCTTAATATAGTCATATAAAGGTGTTATGAAATGGCATAAATTTCAGTCAAAACGAGGTTGCATCACGACGAAATCCGATTCCCAGTGAATGTCAGCACATAGACAAGGCAACCTGTCCTATTTTGCTAGGGTTTGTTTAAAAGATTGAAGCTTTTTTAAACAAATCTACCTTTTTTTCAAATTTGCTATGTTTTTCTGTCAAATAACCATTTTTGCAGAGTTCTGCCAGAAATCTGCCAAAAAAATCAATTCTGTCAAATTTTTTGTCAAACTCGTTTTTTAACAAAAAATCCGTCAAAATTAGCCAAAAATCGGCTAAAACGGTCACTGTGTCCACAGGGCAATTTCTATAGATGAATATGTCTCC